TTTTGTTTTAGGGTTTCAAAACCATAAAAATCCCTTAGATCAATTACAGTAATCGGTTGTTTGATCGGATGTGGTGGTTGGTCATTTGCCGTTTGATCGATTGCGGCAAAGAGGGGAAGAAGAAAAGTGGGGAAGGAGAAAGGGGAAAGATGGGGGAGAAACACACCTATGCTTTTTTTTTAAATATAAAATATTTTTAAAAAAATTAAAAATATAATAAATGTGACAAATATTACTTAATGAGATTTATTTAACGACATTTAATATCCCGGGCACTAATAACGTAAAAATGTTAGACATCTAAAATGATAATAAATTTTTTTTAAAAAAATTATTTTTAACCAAAAAAAAATTAAACATTAAATTTTTTTTCGAGACATAATTTATATACAATTTTTTTATGCCAAAATAAAACGACAGTGAATCAAATTCTAAGCCACGTGAGCAATAAAATAGAATCAAATCGATTGGTAGTTTTAAAGCAAAAAACCAGCCTATCTGCCTGTTCACTTAAGGAGAAGAAACCAAAACTATGGCGCTAATTCCTTTTACTTCTTCTTATCCAAATCTTCTGCAATTATCTGTTAAACCTCCATCTCCTTCTCTACCTCTTTCTGTGCATTATCTTCTCTTTGGTTCTCCTTCTCCGTGTCCAATCGCTTGGCCGTTTTTGCTTCAAAAGAGCGGAGTTCCCTTACTTCCGGTCGCAGTGAATCCTTCTTCTTCTAAGAGCAAGATCAAGTGCTTTACTGCGGAAGAAGATCGTTTGAACCAAACGGAAACGTTGGCCGCTGAGAATGTTGGCACCGATGATGATGAATATGGAGGGATTGAAGATCCAAACTCGTAGCAGCACCATAGTTCTGCAGTTGCGACGCAAAGGATCATTTCCTCTTCCTGTGATACTATATTGCTTGGAATTCGTGAGCCTGTCTAGGAGGTTTTTATTTTTATTTTCCTTTATTTTAGTAAGATAAGTAGAATTTTACCTTTTTTGATTAATTTACAATCTTAGACGAAGATAGGTGCATCCAATTATGTATTATGTGCTAATTCTGACTGACGTTTCTAGAATTATTTATTATACTATTTTCTAATTACTAATTTGCTATTTTTCTTCGGGTTCTTGGATTGCATTCCATTTTTGTCTCTTTTTGTTCCTTTTTATTATTTTGAATGCTTTACAACTTCATTTATCATCTAAAACCCCTCTCTAAAGGTGTTAGAGGTGAAGTCAAATGGAGTAGTATCTACAAGGAAGATAAACCGACGTCAATTACTGAAATCAAGTGGTAATGTAATTTTTTCCATCTCTTTAGTGTTAAGCTTTACTTGCAGGAGAAAATCTGTCTTTTATTTACTTATTTGTTTATTGTGGATTTTGTTTTACGGTTTTCTTAGGTCTTCGTCCAAGAGACATCTGAAGTGTCGATCCATCATTGTTTTTTGACAAACTCGGGGCCGTCTCTTCTGGTAACTGCCATTTGTGCTGTCCTATCCTATGTATTGGCTTTGAGGGTCAGTTCTCCGCCATATATCTGTTCGTGTGCTTGCTAACTCATTTTTTCCCTCTTTCCTGTTCTAAGGTACGAGAGCACGCAATTCTACTTACTCTGGGATCATTACAAGCAATTGCAATGAGAGACTGTGTTCTTATATTTCATAGGTAACTTTGCATCTGTGCAAATACGATTTCATTGTGTCATCTCTTCAAAATGACCTGGTGAACTTGTTGCATGTGCTGGTCATTTTTAGTAAAGGCGGAAAGTCTTTTATAGACATGTTGTTTCCTTGACTGAATAACATGAATGGAGGGCATTGTATGCCATTCGAGCTTGAGGTTTGTATCTTTCTGAGGACCCTTGCTTTTATATGCTAATAAATGGGGGTGATTGTGTAGGGGGCCGGGAGTCACTGATTAGAAGCTATAATTTTGAACACCTGTACTTTTTCAGAGACATTTGGTGTGGAACTTTCAGGTTGTTGAAGCAGCATTACTTTCACGAATACAGCGTATGGAGCAGAGATTGATGGATGTAGAACCTCGTGTGAGTATGGAAACATAGTGAGTATTTTGTTGGTTTGTTTGTGTCGTTTCCTTTTCTCTTTTCTGGGATTTATGTTGAATTGAATAAATTCCATATGAAGCTGCAGACCACGAAAATCTTGAACATTTACTATAGTGGTTAAAAGCAAATTGAGTAAGTTCCAAGCGACTCTACAATGGGAAAAAATAGCCGATTCAAGAAAATATTTATAGACTCCGTGTTTTTTTTTTGTATATCTTTCCTCTCATCTGTCTCACAGAGACTTAAAAAACTTGTTGGCTTTCTCGTTAAAAATGCCTATTAAAAACATATGAGAGATATGCTTAATCAGCCATTTTTGGTTCACTTAAGATGTTACAATATTGTCCTATTCCTCTCACTGCTGCATATGGACCAAGTTGCTCTCGATCAACTTGAAACTTGTCTAGAAAATGCTTTTTGTTTGTTTACTATGAAATCTAAACAAGTTTAAGCTTGGTTATTCTGTTAAATAGGGGTGTGAGCAAGAGGGTGTTAAGCACTAGGCGTGTTTATCCTAACGATCATCGACTTTTAAACAACTAAGAAATATATTGAATACCGAATATAAAAGGGTTTTTTTATTTTAGAATTTTCATTAATTAATTATCCATGAATATCTTGAACTTTATACAGCAGCTTGTTATTGCTGTTTAAAAACAAATTTTACCAAGCTTAATTATGTAAAGGGTCAAACTTGTGCCTGATTAAGGCTTGAACAAGCTTATTTTAAATTGTGTTTAACTAATGAGAATCTTGTCTTGCTCATTTGGAAGTCTCATCTTGCATTATTATCAAGTACTCCAAGTATTCCTTACAAATTCACTATAAATGCATGTTTTCCCTAGAATATATTGTTTTACACCTAAACAATTCATTTTGTTCACTGTGATTAATTAAGAACTTACAAGTTTGTACCGTGTGTGCCTACAGTGTTGCTATGGGATAGCTTTTGATAATATGAACTTGTTTAATCATTACTGCTCTTTCATATGTGCAGGTTCAAACACTTCTTCAAGAGTTGCCTTACAAATTAACCGCCAACATATTGGAGCAATTTTGCATTAACAAGCAGACTCTGGTATTAGTAACTTTACAAAATTTTCTTTAGTTGTATAATAATAAATAGTTGATATCTTCATATTTTCTTTTTTGTCTTCTCATGCTAGGTTGAATTGGGTTCAAGAGCAGTGGCCCTTAGACAAATGCTGCTTGATCTTTTGGAGGACCCCCATGAAATACGTCGAATATGTATTATGGGAAGAAACTGTACTTTGATAAAGGGAACTGATGACATGGAATGTTCTGTACCCTTAGAAAAACTGATTGCTGAAGGTAAACTCTTCTCATTAATCTCAGTTTAGACGTGTTCTTTAGAAAAGTTCTAATTTGGTTTGGTTTGGTCATTTTTCGGAAGAGGAGGAAGAGATCGAGATGCTTTTGGAAAATTATCTTCGAAGGTTTTTCTTGTGTTCCACTTATGATGCATTTCGTGTATGTAGTTTGTGCATCAAACAGGTTATCGTTTATATGCTTCATTTTTATATTCTTGATGGTCTTCAGCTTGGGTTGCTAGAGCTTTTTAAAGGCCCAAATTTCCCAGTGATATAAACAAGGCATAAACTAGATGAGGATGTATATAGGTTTGGTTAACACAAGAGTAATAAATAGAGTTTCTTAGAAGAGGCTGACTGTTAGTTCCATTTTCACTGGCCAGGCAGAAGGGCTTATTATGTGCATGTTCTTCTGTCAGTGGCTGTAACTGGTTACAATTTACTGTTGCATTTGCAGATGTGAATCTTGCCATGGTCAGGCTGAATGGCTTCTTAATTTTGCAAAAGAAATGGAAGATTCTATTGCTGTCAACTTAAGGTGGTGATGAAGTTTGATTTTCTTAGGTTTTCAGAATCACCTTTTTGTTTGGGATATTGCTTTTCAGCATCACGATTTCATTTCGGATTTCTTAGTACTTTATCCTCTAAAATCCCAAGTTCTTCTCATCTGTGATAATGATAATTTGAATGTTCAGATCCATATCTAACGTATTTTTTATTTGCATCTGAATCCACAATCCTCTAACTATTGAATTAGTTTTCACTGTTTTTAACTGTTCTTATCAGCTCTCGGAGGCTTGAGGTAAACAGAGTGGAACTACTTCAGGTGGGGACATTTTGTGTGGCAGTCGGTGCTCTAGTAGCAGGTTTGTCCTTCCCTCACCAAGAAAAATAGAAACCAACCTCTATTGATTATTATGTGACGATAAAATTGTTTTTGTTTGAGTATAGTTTTAGGTTAGTCCATGGATTTATCCATGTCAAGAGGCTCAAGACTATACTTCCTGCTTTTCAGGTATATTCGGCATGAACTTGAGGTCCTACCTCGAAGAACATATGATATGATTGTCATAAGATGTTTCTAACATTCTGTATCTTCTTACTCCGTATCCACATGGTTCTCACTTTTGTCATGCTAACACCATTCATTTGCAGTTTGCCTTCTGGCTAACCACAACAGGGATTATTGTTGGTGGTGTTGTGGCATTTTTTCTCATATCTGAGAGCTAGGAGAACACTTTAAATTGAGGTAAGATGTCGAGTACCTTCAACTAGGAAAATGTTATATGCACCTATGCACAATTGTACAGAGTCGGAATTATTGTCTCCTTAGTAGAACAGAGGACTAAAAATCCTTCGTTTGTATGAATATTTACTCTACAAATTGACATGGATCGACATAATACATATACTTATTTTAGATACCTTATTTATTTATTTATTCAAAAGAGCAAAGAATATGTTCTAATGTGTCTATTATTAAAAGAAAAAAAATTGCTCATCTTTCCCCTTGTTTTTTATTTGTTCAGTGTGGTTCCTCGCAGTAAAAAAAAAGAATGCTAATACTTCATGCATATTAATTTAAAAGAGAAAATCTATAACTTTACATGGCTGATGAAGATTCAATGGAAAGACACAATCAACTACATTACAAACTAAGCAGCCGGACACAACTTCTGCAACGGGTTGATTTAGGTTCATGCTTGCTATTGAAGCTCGAGTTCGAGCTTCAGTCGTTGACGTTGATGCGGATCAAATAACTCATCAGTTGCTGTCGAGATTGCTATTAGTGCGATCAGGCAAGAACTGTAAATTCCAGAATCCTTGCCGTATACGTGTTATGAAAACGGTAGATCAGCAAGAACAAAAATGTGCAGAAGTAAAGCTAAGGTGTTCCGAAGTTGATCCAGTGATGAACCTTCATTGTCCATCTGCTTCGCGTCGACAAATTCGGTTGTTCCTTTATCAATAGTTGCAGAGACATTAACAGATGATGAACCTAATCACACACACACACAGAGCGGATTCATGTTTATGAATTATATCATCTTTCATTATTAGTAATTAATTTGCTCCTCCATTGAACCCGGAGTTCAGCCTACTAAGTTGGATCATATAGTAAGAGATTGGATACAGTAAGGCCAGGAAAATTTACACTTACAGTCATAGTTCTTCCATCCGATCCTTTGTTTTGCCAGATCGTAAACAAAGATTTTGTCTCTCAGAACAAGATATGCGAAACAAAAGATAACAGAACATTATCCGTGTTGTGGCTTTTAACATGGAGACAAAAAATTCATCGAGCTTGATTGAATCGTCATTATAATTTCATGCGCTAGGTAATGTCAATGCTTCAGATATCTAATCATCTGATCGGAACATTACGGAAATGGAACACTTTCCCAAAGGTTCCTGTAGACACCCGTTTTTGTCCGGGTCTTTTTTATTATTATTTATTATTATTATTATTATTTATTATTATTATGTTTATTAATTACATATTACAATTTTTGTAGGCCACTAAGCCCAGATTACAGAAGGTCCATTCCCGGAGCCCAACTAGCTAAACCTAATGGCCCAGTACCCTGAACCAACCCATCAGATTAGGGTTTTAAACCCTAAAACAGATTAGGGTTTCAAACCCTAAAACAAATTAGGGTTTCAAACCCTAATCCCCTAATGGCAGCCGCCGACCTAACTCATCAGCAAGCCAGCCAGCCGCCTCTGGCTATTTAGCTTCCCCAGCCTTGCGTGGTCTTCACCGGTCACTCCCGAGCCGAGTGAGCCGCCGCTGGTGAGTTCTCGAGCCACTGCCAATCTCTCCAGTTCATCCGTCATCCACAGTGACCCTCAACAGTGAGATAGCAGAGAAATCAATTAAAAATTAGAAAAATCCAAGCAAATCTAATCAAATCCAAGAGATGACAGCATGAGTATAGGGATATCATTCCCTACGAACTCAACCATCCATCAGTTAGAAGATATCAACACATGCATCAATAAAAGAAAGAAACCGAAGAAAAAAGGGGTATCTATTCGAACCACAACCGAAAAAAAAGAAAAAAAAGAGGAGTAGGAGAGGATAATACCTTCATCGGAGGAGTGCCGGAAAGCCAAGTGGTCGCCGGAGTTCAAAGCTTTCGAGAGGTATAATCTTGGATCTAGGGTTGTTAGGTGGTTTTTAGAGGAAAATGGTTTAGGTTTCTGGTAAAGGAGGGTGAGGGGATGCTTTTGGGACCATCTGGTCCCTTCGGCCGCCGCGCCAGCAGTCGTGCGTCGCTGCTTGCTACCGCAAGCTCAGCCGGGTCCCTCTCTCCGATGAGAGGAGTTTAAGAGATTTTTGAATCTCTCTCTCCTCTCTATTTTGATAAGAGATGAGAAATGGGATGAATGGGTAAGCAAGCCCGATCTTGGGCTTATATTATTCAATCAAAACGGCGCCGTTTCAGCAAGGGACCTTCAGCGTGTTTTTATCTTGTGGGGTAACTACACGTTTAGTCCCCCGCGCTTTGTAATATAATTATTAAGCCATATAATGAAGTTATATATTATTTGATTTCGAGCCTTTATTTTTCCTTCCTTACATTTTAGTCCTGCTATTACCTGTTATGCTATTCTGGTTATATGTGACTTTGGTCCCAATATTTATAATCATTTCAATTTAGTCACGGGTTTTTGTGTGTTGCTTATTTTTTGTGAACGTTCGAATTTGGATATGATATTTATGTATCTTACATTTTAGTCACTGATCATGTGTTGTTTTTTTTATGTTCGAATTTGACAGCAACATTTGTAAATCTTTCATTTTGGTCATTGTTTTACTTTTGGTTTAATTTTTTATTCAGCCTTCATGTTTATATTTTTAATGCAATCTAGTCCTAAGTATTATTTATGGGTTATTTATATTTCTGGTTCATGTATTTATTTAATGTTTGCTATCTGGGCTCTTCTTTATTTATAATTATTGTTTGGCCTGTTAAGTTTCTATTATTTTCATCTTAGTCCCTAATCTTATTTGTGTATGATTTGCATACTGTTTAATATTTTGTTCTTGGCCCTGGATTATTTGTTTTATTTGTTGTTTATTCCTTTAGGTTTTTATTATTTTTATTTTGGTACCTTAAAATCAAATGTGATTATTTATATTTGTGTTTAGATCTGTAATATTTTATTTTGTTCTAGTCCTGTATGTATATGTATTTTGTTTATTACAACTATCAATGTTATTTTACGTACATTATCAATCTTATATGTTGTAAGTGTTTATTTATGATTTTCAAATTATATTTTGTTTTCATTGTTTCCTTTATCTATCGATTTGTTTTGAATAATTTCAAGAACACGTATGCGTAGAATGGGCGTGGAAAGTACCACTTGATCGAAGTGGTGTGATCCGGTACGGCATTTTAACGACATAGAAACTTGAAATAAGTCGAGTATATTTTGCTAATTAATTTGTTCAAACGATGCAATGTGTGTTATTTTAAGTGACAATTTATTTTATTTTATGTGAATGTAAATTTCAAATTTTTAATTTGTATTCAATTCACGTTTTTTTAGTTAATCAATTTACTCGTATGTAAACATCGTTTTTAGTTATATTTGATTCGCAATTTTTTACATAATCAATGGTAGAATATTCTTTTACAAAAGAGAAATAGTTGAAATAGCTTTCCCGACGGAGGATTGCAAATTTCAAGATTTCTTATCAAGTTAAAGGATTTTATTTAAATAGTTAACTCGAAGTAAATTAATTAAATTTCAATAAATGGATCGTAATTTAACTTTATATTCGATTTTTAATTTCCATCATCACGACGATATGTAAGCGATACAGTACCAATTTTGGGCGCTGTGGGGTGCTAATCCTTCCCCACGCGTAACCGACTCCCGAACCCATCAAATCAATTTTCTGGTAAACGCAGACCCCTTTTTGTCTTTAAAAATGTTTTTTCTTAAAATTATTTTGAAAGACGTTTTTAGGTATTCGACCTGCCTAATCTAAAGGTCGATGGCGACTCCATTTTCAATTTAATTTTAATTAATCCAAAATCACCCAATTTTTCCATATAAAAGTCATAATCGTTTTTTTAAAATAATATTTAATTGTTTTACTTAAAAATGGTTATGACAGCTTGGCGACTCCGCTGGGGACTTTTTTTAGAGAGTCAGGCTGTATGTCGTTTACATATTGTCATCTTGGTGGAAATTATGATTTCTAGTTTTAGTTAATTTATGATCCGTTTATTGAAATTTTTAATTGCTTCGTTTTTTGTCGTACTAACATTTTATTTTTGGCTTTCAGCTTTGTCAGGATTTTATCATTTTTTCCTTGTTTTGTTTCCTTTTGGGTCGAAGGTAGGTATGTTCCTCCTCACACATCACATACATGTGCATAACATAAGCTCCAGACACGAGCTTCGATCCAAATTAGTCGGGGTGAGTGCTTTACTCTCGTAAGAATTTATTCTTCGTATGAGTTTTAGCAAATAACCCATGGGATACATATCTTATACCTTCGTAGGGATTTATTCCTCGTATGGGTATAAGACATTGAATCCCCTCGAATTGAACTCGTTCCGTTAGAAACCTGTAATGGGTGAGGATCGAGGGTTTGGCAGCCCAAGGGGGCACCGACATCAAGGACAATTCGAGTCCCTTTTTTCCGTTAGAGCCGAAACCAAGCATATAGTGAACCGTCGAACGATCACCCTAGGTATAGTCATACCGAACCTTTGTCCGTCAGTAGGTACCCAAAATAGGTGTACACGAAGGAGGAGCGATTCTAAACCTTAACCATTTAAATTTGTAGAATATATTTTTTTTTTCCGAATAAAGCATGCGAACTAGATACCATGCAGTTAGGACCAATTTCTTGAAAATAGATCATTTTGGGTAGATAGCATGTCCGGGTAGGATTGTTATTTAATTGAAAGCATGTTTGGGAAGATATCATGACGGGGTAGGTGTTATATCCATCTCTGAATTACATTTTTATTTGTATCAATTATTTTACATGTACTAACTTATTTTTCTCTTTTGTTTGTGTATACTAACTTATTTCTTCTCATTTGTTTGTGTCAATTTGTCATTTGCATTGCATTGCATTGCATCATCATAATGCAAAAGTGTTGATCCGTAAGGGGATATTCGAGAGAAAATTTTCACAAGAAGAGATAAAAGTTTTCAATCAAGCGATCACATACACAGACATGCATCGAGGGCTAAAAAGAAGTCCAGAGTATAAGAATGAGATTTTCTCGAATATCGTGCATCATTCGAGACTGATATGATAATCCACTGATCTAAGGAATAATCCAACAGTAGATTCTCATCCACAATTATTCCATCGTTAACTATCAGGGAGTGAAGCACAAACTTCAGCATAGCCGAGGCATTAACGGAGTCAGATTACAGAACGCTTGAGGGGCATCATTATTGAGGACGAAGATCCGATATGAAGCAGTGATCCATTCCAGGCTCACCATCTAAGCGAAGACATGTCTGTAAAGTGGACTGTCTTGTAATGTGAAATTTTTTATCTCTGGTGGAAATTGTTCTACGGTATTTATCGTTGGGATCAATATTTTTGCATCCGCATTTGTATCATTGCATTTTATTCAACATTCATTTAAGCATCGTTACGTGCATTAATCATACCTTGTGGGAAACTTTGAGGAAGCGCTTCTAACTGTGCAACTGCATTCACACAGTATTGAAAATGGATGCAAAATTTGAGGAATTGAAGAAAGAGCTGAACGAGAGTTTGCAAAAGTTGCAAGCAGAGTGGGAGGTTAAAATGGAGCAGATGCAAAAGACCACCGTGGATCGTATCTTGCAAAACCAAAAAAGACCTAGTTGACCAAATGGTAGCAAAGATGGCTGAGCTCAACCAAGAAAAAGGCAAAGAAAATATTTCATTAACCCGTGAAACAGTTAAATGTGTGAAAGCACAGGCTAGTTCGCAACCAATTATCTCGCCCAACAGGATTCCTAGTCACCTAGCGACGAGAAGAGCCAAGAACGAGATCCCAGATAATTTGAAACAGTGGTGCAGAGAGACATTCCATGGAATGAGAAGACAAAACTCTCACAACGGGATGGATGCAACAGAACTAGTACTAGTTCCTAACCTGGTGCTTCCGCCCAAATTCAAGATGCCCGAGTTTGAAAAGTATAGTGGAACCAGTTGCCTTAATTCACATCTCACGATGTTTATCCAAAGGATGACTG